AGTTTGATGCTACAATTGACACTGATGCTATTGCTATTGGAGGCACAATTTTTCTTGGAAATTAAGCTACAGAAGGAACGGTGAGAGCTTAGGGGTACTGCTGTAGTTAGCCAGGACTGGTTTTTGTAATTGTCTTGGACTGTCTGGTGAGAAAAAAAACAAAATGCTGAAGAGCAAATTCTGTACAGAAAGGCAATTTTACATCCCATAACATTAAGTGCTGCAGGGAATAACTTTGGCTGCACATCCTGCCTTTGAGCACACACTATAAACTTCTGAAATGATGTTATATCAAGTTACAGTTTCATTTTCTGTTTGAAACACCTTGGAATTTCTAGGACAGAGTTGTTTTGAATCCTGTTCAGATGTATCCTGCTTTAAAGAGATATGCATCACACTGCTTTTCATTAAAATTTTGTATTTGCAGTTTTTGCCTTTACCTTTTTCACAGAGAAGATGCTCAGTCTGGAGTGTGTACTTGGAAAGCAATCTAAGGGGAACACTTCAAAACATACAGTACTTAAGCAAAACCAGGCTTTTTAGAGCCTCTGCCCTGGTCAACACATACTTTTTTGAGCACACATCCTTATGCATGCTGGCAATTTTGTGTCTTCTTATCCTTATAGTTACCCTTGGTCTGTATTTCTCATACCTTAAGTCTTCTCTGGACTTGTCTTTTCTGAAGCATGCTCCTTAAATGCTTCGGTCAGATCTGCTTTCACACCGCACACCTTCACTGCTCTGCTAATCTCTGTATCTTAAATTTAACTTGGCTGAACCTTAACCTATAGCTCAAGGTAGAGCAACAGATCTGTTGCAAAAGCAAATCTTGTATCCTGAGCATTTTGAGGGCTATTTCATAGCTTGGTTATTCATACTCCAGCTAGGTTCATGAGTGTGGATGAATTCAAGCTAAGTGAAAAACATATCCTTCAAGGCATTTAGCAAATTACATGTTGCTTTACATGCTGCATGGTCATAAATGAACATGTGGTTATTCTGCCCCGGGTTCATCTTACTGGATTTCTTTCAGATTGATTTTTGGTATAAATTTCTTTTTTGAATGGAGAAATTAATCCCATTTACATGGCAGGAGGGTCAGCCAGTTTGCCGAGGGGCAGAGGTGGGGCAGAGGTGGGAGGGACATGCTGAGTGCTGCTCCTGTTGAGCTCCCTGGCTGTCCACTTTCTCCCTAAGTCATGCATGAGGAAGCAGAGGAGCAGTGCGCTATAATTCCTACAAAGACTTCTATTTATTATACAGTCAAAATTGATGAGATCCTAACTCCATCAAGTGCTCCCAATAAATTTGAGACTTCAAATGGGTATTTTCTGTATAAAGGGAAAACTGTATTAACAATTTAATTGTTGTGTCTGTGTGTTGTTACGGATGAGCAAGCTGTCAGCTGCTTTGTGACACTCACCCTGAAGCTCTGCTTTGGCTGTATCTCCTTACTGATCCCAATTAAGGTAACATCAGAAAAAAAACCAGAGGCTAAATGGAGAGGTCAGTGGCAGGAGTCTCTTGTCAAAAGACATTGTTATTTTCTGTACCTGGGCTAATAAACAGCCTATTAATTAGTGCGTGTTTAGAATAAACTAGATCTGGTTTTGCCTTACTAGAAAGATGAAGAAGATCTTTCATTTAATTTCCCCTCAAAGCACTATAAACCTCAGATAAATCATCCTGAGTCAGCATTCAAGGCTCAGATAAAAAGCCATCTCTCTCTCTTTCCCCTCTGCATGTCACACAGTCGTATCCACATGGAGACCTGTGTCCCAAAGGAGTCCTTGGGCAGACAGTGAGTCGAGTAGCCTGTGGTGGCTCTGCCCTGTTGCATTGCCCCAGTGCACAAAGGGCCAGCAGCTCTTTTGTTGTAATAAACCATAGGCAATCCAGGCATGAGCTCTGGCCAGAAAAATATAACGAGTTAATGTCTCCTGCCATGCTGTAGTCCCCACTGCCTCTCCACCAAGGGGTAAGCAAGTGCTGTTAAATGAAGCCTCAGACTGGAGGCCTCCTTCTAGACCCCAGGCTTCTGTTTCTCATTGAGCCAAAGGCATATGGATTTATATATGGGAATTAAATGCAAAAATATTTACCATCATCCCTATTTACTTCATACCCTGATGATATCTGTTTTGCTTTGCTCCAAGTAGCAGCATGATGCTGTTCTCATGGCAAGGTGCATTGGAGCCATCCACCTGCATTCCCAGAGAGTCTCAGATCTGGGCTTTGTCTCTGGGCAGAGATTACAGTGGGGTGGTTTAAAAGTGTCTCATTACACAAGAAGGGGACATTAACAGCCACATTGAGGAAAAGGGGAAGAAAATCAATCACAGAAAAAGGCACTACTTTAGTCATAATTCAGCCATGCATGGAGAGCTAGGCAGAAGGAATTTCCAGTCTGCTCAGCTGCTTCCTGGAAATGCTAGATCTAGTCTGTAGGCATGTCAAAAGAGGAGATATGACCACCAATGTGGGACAGAAAATAAAAAGAATTAACAGCATTCTGTGCATTAAACAGGAGGTCAGATCTGATGCTTGTAGATATTGCCAGGTCTAAAAGTTGACAAACAACAAAGAAATTACTTTTACACACAGACAAAATTTGAAAGACTGCTCCTGTGGGACACTAAAAACCAAAAAAGTATTTTAAAACATATTTAATGCCTGAATCCTTTTGATCTTGAGTGACACTAGGACTATACTCAGTGCCCTTCCCATCTAACCAAGCAGAGGGTTTGTTTCCCAGGAGGGCCTGAGCCTGTTGCAGGATGTATTCCTGCATGTAATGAAATTTAATAGTCTCACTTCCCTTCAAGTATGCAGCTGCTCCCACCATTTGGTTACCTTTCTCTAGCATTGCTGACAAGAGTCACCCTTAGCATTACAGTTTGTTGAGGTCTTCCCAAACTGTGTCTCTCTTATTTTTGTCAGTTTTTGTCTATGGTAATGGGTCAGGTCTTCTTTCCTTTTATCAAGATCTGACTCTTCTCTTGATCGGGCAGTTTAATCTAGAGATTAACTGAAATGCTTTCAAGGTAAGTGAATACTGACATTGTCTTCCAGTGACTGGTACTACAGATCTAAAATAACTCCTACTTGCTGGTATTTGTAAGGCTTAATTTGTTCTGGCATGAACTTTTTTGCTGGGTTGCAGTTTGAGTAGTAAATACAACTATTATAGGTGTCACAGGATAGGCAGTCCAAGATCTCAGGCTGTTTGGAATAGAACAGCCTTGTAGAGCTCCGTGACTAACCAGAGCTCTACAAGCTCTCTGTCCATCTGAGCCACTTGGGCTGTGCTCTCCTTTTCTTGCATCAAATTATCTCAGATGAATTCAACTAAAAGCTCTGTAGACTACGCTTTACAAATAGACGGAAAATAGACCATTCTCATCTATTTTAGAGCTAACATTTACAGGTTAATTACTAGTTCTTTAACTTCTGGTTTCTAGCACAGACTGCTGCACTCAGAAATCATGGGATAAGATGTGATAGTTCACAAAGTCAGCAGAGAAACAGACTACCATGAATAAAACTAAGCAATGCTTTGTTACTGGCAAATTCAAAACCTAGGCAATCAATAGATATTGGGGGTTTTTGTTTTGGGTGGGTTTTGTTTGGGGTTTTTCTTGGCTTTCATTGAAGCACCAAGTTGACAGACATGTTGGAACTATTTGCATTCAAGTCGCAATAAATGTAATGTGGGATATTCCTATAAATGATTTTATCTTGTTTTTAAAATAAAATCTGCATGATCATTCTGCATCTCTTCCTGCTGGCATCACTTTTATTCTTGCAGCCAAGAGAGTCAGTTAATAATTTCATTCAAACTTGCTGGCTCTGACTTTTGTTTTTGGCTTCTCCCATCCCTTCCATTCTTGCTGTCTCCTAGGGGAGACCTTGCAGGAATTTTGCAGGAATTGTCAGCTACAATTTTTTTTTTTTTTATTAAACCTGCCCATTGCTCTGACTGTGCTAAATCAAGCAAGAAAATGCAAGCAGTTGTTTTCTTTTTTGTGTGTGTGTTTGTTCTTTCTCCCAAAAAACCACATGCTCAGCTTCCTTACCCCTGCCATTAGGCCAGTGAAGTACGTTTTCTTCCTTGCTTTACCTTAGGCCCTGACTTGGCAACTCACATGGCAGATGCCTTTTTCAGTGTCCCCATCCACTGCACTGCTATTACAAAGCAGGATGAGTGTACATGAGCACCGGTATTGAAGCAGGCACAGTGACTAACCTGCCTGCCAGCCTGTGCTTGCTTCTGTCTGGCCCATCATTAGTGCTGCAGAAAAGGCGTAAATGGGAAATGTTATAGAAGAACATTCTACTGAATGGGGACAAGGCTAATGCAAGTCTGGTGGCAACCAACAAGCTTGGGTGTACTTACTGAAGGCAGTTTGTCCTCTCTACTGGCTTTGCTGCTTTAGTCAGCCTACAGTGTTATTATGCAAAGAATTAGATGGTGGTATACTGGCACTCAACTCCAAGATAATAAAAGAACTTGGGTATCACAGTGGGTTTTGTGCTGTGATTAAAAAAAGCCTAAACCCACACCTCTCTTGGAGATGGTCTTTGCAGAGGCTGGCTAATGCTTGTCCTTCTGCTGTAAGAACCAGTACCAGTAAAGAGATAGGAAAACAAAGCTGTTCTAGGCCTGCTGCTTTGATCCTTTGTTGGCACATCTGTACACAAGACCTAAGCTAAAGGGAGCAGACACAAGCACTGTAAACTTAAGGGTACTTATGCCCTCTGAGTATCAAATCCTGGAGTCAGACACCAAAGAACACATGAGGATCTGACCCATGGGGAGGTGGTAAAACATATCACATCTACAGCTCCCATGGCTTCCCTGGGTTTTCCCTCCATTTTCTTCTGTGCACAGAAAGGCCCCATATATATAATTTAGATATAATGTAGATTTATCTGCAGGTGGGGCAGAAAGGAGAGGCAGTAACTCTGCTAACATGTAGTGGCACTTTCTGCATTCACAGGTTCACAGAGACGGAGGCTTATTCCAGCTTTATCACTGGACACCGCTTCCCCAGCAAGGAAGCCTGCCAACAGCCCTGGGGTCCGCTGGGTGGATGGGCCACTGAGAAGTGGGCAGAGGGGCCTGGGGGAGCCCTTTGAGATCAAAGTCTATGAGATAGATGACGTGGAGAGGCTCCAACGACGGCGAGGTGGGGACAGCAAGGTGAGTGCAATCTGTGTAATCTCCTGGAGTGTGTAAATCGTAAAGGTCAGGTCTTGATATGGAAGACTGCGAAGATTATCTGAAGTTGAGTATTTTAGAGTAACTGTGGATATAGGCTTTATTATTATTTTAAGGCATTTTTTCTTCCTGCCTCTTATCACTTGTTTAGGAAGTTTGTGATGTTGTTCTCTGATATGATTATGTTTGGAGAAACTTTCTGCAGTGGGTTTTCCACTGCACTTCACCCACACAGCAGATTTGTTTATAGAGAAAAAAGTGGAAAAGTGTTGAGACCTTCACACAGGCTTGAAGGAGGATAGTTCTGTTACTGGAATTGCTTCCATGCTGGTGAGGGTAGCACAGCCCTCACTGTGGAGTCACTTGCTGCACATCTTGATGGCTGGCACCTCTCAAAAGTCACATGAGGCCAGGCTTCTTGTCTGCAGACAGCACTGCACCTCATGCTGTCACTGTGTTCCATATCTTTACAGCAAATATATCATCTTTATTAATGATTGTGGATTGCTAGAGCTTTTCTTAATACACTGCCTTTGTTTAAGAATATTTTAAATTCGATATTGCTACCGGTTTTCTATTTTAAAATATGACTACTGCATTTCTTATGTGCACAGGGGTGTATTTAGGCTTTTAATACAGCAAGCAATGGATTTTCTTCTCCCAAGAGCTTAGGTTTTCTTAGCCAAACTCGGGTGACAAAAAGCAGAAATATTTTACTGCAGTTAATCTAATTTCAGGATGCTGCCTGTTATTAATCGTTATGGTTTTTTATTAACTACCATTACAAAGTCTCCAAAGCTCACTGATGGAAAACATCAAAACCAAACAAAAGCAATAAAAATAAAAAAGGTGATAGATTTCATGCAGTGATTCATATGCTTCCAGAATAAACGGCTCATTGTCATCATTATTGATTGGAAGATCATTTCACTGAATGGATCTGAGAATTTCTTCTCTTCTTCATCTATTCCTTCCCTGCTTCTTTTTCCTGGTTGGCAGGAGGTGATATGTTTCAATGCCAAGCTGAAAATCCTGGAGCATCGCCAGCAGAGAATCGCTGAGGTCAAGGCCAAGTACGAGTGGTTAATGAGAGAACTGGAGGTGACAAAACAGTACCTGATGCTGGATCCTAATAAATGGCTTAGTGAATGTAAGGACATGCTTTTATTGCCTGGACTCATAGGTTCCCTTTGGTTTATATAATTGGGGTGGATGGAGGGGAGCAGAAACATGTGGTAAGAGAGTGAGATGTGAGCTACTATGTTTGTGAACTAAAATGAAACAACATATAACCTAAGGGCAAGTTTTAGATTGACTGTATTTCTAGAACTATTTCCTATAATTCTTATTAAATGTTTACAGTAGAACTGAACAATCATTTTTGCCTGAGAGCTGAATGTTGAAGTGGTACAGCATTCTAGTGGTGGATATTGCCATTGGTAGATTAACATTCACGTGTTTCAGTCCACAGCTCCTGAAAATGGGATTTTTTTTTTTGGCCTCAGATCACTCAAACATATAAGCAATATTATAAATCTGCTCTTCTGCCACAAAATAACACTGTGGAGCAAACTTGTCCCTTGGCACCAGTGGGCTTACATGAAAAATGAATTTGGCCCATTTTTTATAACTATATATTTAAAGTTCAGAGAGCTTAAAGATCATTCACATTCAAATGAAGAAGGTCCTCAGCACCTCAAAGGAAAAAACATAAAGAGTACTGCAGTAGTTATACAACAGCTTTTATTATGAGCAAGAAGACAAGTTCATATCAGAGTTATAGGAAAAAACCCACAATATGCAATTTATCTAGGATAATGGTATGTAGCAAAAGGAGGCTGGCTGGTGGGTTCTCTTACAGCATCCTAACTCTTCCTTTGACAGTTTAAGTTGACACTAGATTGGTACATCCTTCAAAACAGCCACAGTATAGGTTTCAGGAACACTCTTACGGAAGAAAAGTAAAAAGGACAGTTTTAAAGAGAGCAGGGAATTTGCTATACAATGTTGTTCACTTACAGTGTGATGCCTTTGCTTCTGATTCCAGGGTGGTAAATGCAGAAAGTCTTAAGGATTGCAAAGACCTCAGGAACCAGATAAGATCGGAAATGCTGGCCCAGAACATATATCTCACACTTGGCTTCCATGCAAGCTGCTATTGGCTAGTTTCTGGCAGCATATGGGCACCTAAGTTGGAGTTTTTGATGTGTGTGCCACGCTTGAGTGGTCTGGTGAGAATCACATGGAACGGAGAAAGGTGTGAGGAACATGGAGGCCAGGGATTAGGTTCTAATTGCAAGTTCTGAATTCAACAAAAGGCTTGTCCTCCCAGGGCAGAGCAGCTATTTAAAGCTCTTTGTGGTCAGGAGAATGTGTGAGAAAGTCAGTACATGCTTAGCACTCAACGTTTGCTTAAGGGTGATGGAGCATGGCAAAAGCCATCTGCAGCTCTGGTGAGGAGCATATTGCTCAAGAAAACATCCCATGCAACTTAGAAGTATTTTTCACAATGGGCAAGCCACTGTGCCCTTTTAATAGCCATTAAATAGAAAAGGCAACTTTTCGTTACAGTGGCAAGCCAGAGGTAATAGTGTTGTATACTGATAGGTCTGAAGACTTGAATTAGTTCTGAGTCTCCCACCAGTAAACACTGCAGAGTTTTTTATTTTTCCTATCTGTGTGTTGGTTTTTTTTTTCCCACAGTTGATCTGGAGCAGGTATTTGAGCTGGATTCTCTGGAATACCTGGAGGCCCTGGAATGTGTGACTGAGCGTTTGGAAAACCGTGTCAACTTCTGCAAGGCCCATCTTATGATGATCACCTGTTTTGACATCACCTCTAGACGCCGATAAAGTATGAACCTCAAGAGAATTTCAATGCACATCTCTACCATCCTCCTTTTCCCTTCCAAGTAGCATCCCAAAGATAAAAGAATGAGGATGAAGGTTGGAGTCAAGTCTCAACTGTGTGTATGAGAGATTTGCTATACTATACAGAGGTCTGGTATTAAAAAAAAACAAAACAGGACAAGCATGAAAAATGGAGATATAAGGTTGTTGATTCTCTTAGCCTAAAAGAGCACTTTGAGGAACCTTTAAGGACATGTCTGTAAATAGGAACTGCTGGCAGAAAACACTTCTTTCCCTGCATTAGCTGAGGAAGGAGAAAAGGTGGTTGTAGGACTTCCACTGAGAGGTTCATTAAAAGAAAACCTATCCAGAAAAACTGTTTAAGTGCCTTGCAAATCTTTATTATCCAAACATTTATGTTCATACTTTATTGTGTACAGATGGTGCTAGTCAAGAAAAGAAAAAGGAAAAAAAAACAAATACACTTTTGAAATGTATTTACAGCTTGTTTTTCTCTTGGTGTTTTCTCCTATTTCAGACTTGCTGTTTCTAAGTAACTTGTGTTTGTAGAGATATTTCCTAATCAGTACAACATATGAATAAATGTTAACTGTCTTTTCTTGTTACCAGAGTAAGGCCACTCAAAGAGAAATTCAGCTTTCCCAGATGACACAAAACTATTTCTAGCAGAGAGTAAGATTTGCTTATGTCTTCTGTACTCTCTTATATACTGGAGAACACAGTAATTTTACCAGTCTGTAGGTTTTGCAATGTATGAGAGAGGAGAAATGACATTACCGTGAAGTAAATATCTTTTCAGTTTGATCCAACCCTCCCCACTTGTTTTCTTTTTTCATATTTTTTTTTGCTTTGTACTGCCTGAAGTTATGAATGAGGAGGTACTTTTATCCTAACCCCTTTTTTTGGTGCTAATAACTTGCTGAAAAATTACCCTTTAGGCTAAGTGTTCCCACAGTTATCAGTCAAAAAACGAGTGATTATTCTGTGATTTCTTTCTTCAGGCTCTGATAAAATTTACCTTCACCTCTTTATGACATACACCACTGCAAAACATGTTTTGGCAGCTTTCGACCCTTGGCCCAGTGTGTCGATAGTCACAGACATATCTCAGAAGCACAGACTCTACTTAGTTTAGTACATCTGGAAATAAAGTAAATGAGTAGATACAGCACTTCAAGTATGTTGGCTATGGCATCTTCTTCACTAAGCCTCCAGTATGTGAAGCCATGGCAGAATTCACATTGACGTCAAAAGGACAAGGCCCGGTGCCTCAATGCACATCCAAATGTTTTACTAGTTTGCCTCTTTATCTACAAAAGAGTGTGTGGGAAGGAAAACTCTTTGTGTTTTATAAACAAATGTGCAAAATCTGCATTTTAACGACAGGAGCATGAAGAAGTATTTTGTTGAATTAGGTTTCTTATTCCTCTGTGTTGAAATAAGCACATGCACAAGAATTCCTCTTTCACATACGTTTGTGCTACCCTCCTGTTGCCTATGAGGAAATAAGAGCCTCATTTAATATATACTCAAAAGGCATCAACTACTGTACTTATGTACAACTTTTCTTTTATCTGCAACATCATATCAATGTCATCTTAAAATACCCCAAGCAACATGTTCCAATGGAAAAATAATACTGATAGATTTTCTAGTGGTTAGGCAAAAAAGAAGCTTTTTTTTAAAAATAGAAATAACATTTTTATAGTCTTATTTTCATTTGGTAATAACAACTCTTATTAATTCTATTTCCCTTGTCACTGGATTTTGTAGAAGATTCTTCTTACAATCTACAAGATTATTTGGAGGGGAAAAAGGGTCCTATATGAAAGTCAGTTTTTACTCTGTTCCACATCAATTTCCTATCATGAAACTTTTATTCCAAGTAAGAATTAAAGACAAATACCCTTCTCTCTCAAGGAAAAAAACCACCACCACCACTAAAAACTCAAACCAAAACCAAACCAAAACAAAAAACCGCAGCTGCAGAGAGCCAAGGAAATTGCCCTTACACACAGTCTGGGACTTAAACAGGAGTGGTGATGTTTCTATAGATCAAGTGGACACATTTCAGAGGTATTGTAAAATATCTAGTGAATGTAATATTCCTCACCATCATTAACTTAATTATTCATTTACTCTAGATTTGGTACTTCTGTAGATTGGGAAGCATAGAAAGCAGTGTGTCTACCTAGCCATTACTTTAAACAGTAAGGGCATGTGTTCACCCTGTTTACCACGATTGACCAAAATCGATTCCTGAAACCAAATTGATTATGCCAAGGATAAATTTTGCACACTGAAAATTATGTACTAATTGGTAGAATCATAGTACTTACAAATATTTTATTTCTGAGGACCTAATTAAAGTGGCCATTAACACTCTCTTTATATACCAGTATTCATATCCTAAAATCCATACTCATCTTCTTTTTCTTGACTTTCTGTCATTGTAATTCAGAATTTGCCACTATGTTTTTAAGAATTGTGATGGCTTAATGGAAAAAAGAGGAATGAAAAATATGCGGAGATTTGAAAACTATAAAATGTTTCTTCTCAAAAAATAGCTTTTTACTTCAGAACTTATATTATTTCAAATATCTGCGAAACAGGTAATTAAAAGCACCAGGACCTTATTATTGCAATTGATCTTAGTCTGCAGTAGTCAGCATTTTACAGAAGACCCATACGCTTCTGCAAGTCATCCAGATAGTCCCATTATTTAAGGAATTGCCAGCATAATGCTGGTTTTTATGCTGATTTTTTTAAAAGGCATCATGTTGCCTAAGATACACAAGGAACACCATGAATGTAATGCTTAATCGTTTGCACATTCAGAAATCAATCTTCTTTCCCTGGGACAGCTTTAGTAGTGAACAGCAGTGTTAATGTAATTAGGTTTGAAGGTTAATTCTTTGTTTGCATGTGTGACAGGAGATCACAGCTCCTCATTGCTGGGTTGTGTGACAGCTGCAGAACAGCATTACTGCTCCGTATCCCCACCACTGTTCTCCAGCACAGGCAGCTGTGGGGCAGCTTGGGGCTTGTTCTGGGAACTGCTCATCTTTGCACATGTGAGCCTTATTCATACAAGGGACAGAAGTTGCTTTATAGCCACAAATTCAAGTGTAGCCTTAGAGTGGAGACTTTGGCTGCAGTCTGGATTCACACATCCTTCTGGTCGGTGTGAGCTCTTGCAGCAGGCAGAAAGCTCTGGGTCACACCCCTGCTGGCTGCAGGTGCTGGGTCACTTTGTGTCCCAGAGGGTATGGGAGAGCCCTAATTCCTGGTGCTGTTTGTCATCATGACACAAGTCTTTTCTTTAGCCATGCATGCCTTGTATTTGCCTCAGACTGATTCCTCATCAATTGGTTCAGATCTAAGCAATCTGAAGTATACTTTACAGAGAGACAAGGAAGCAAACCAATACTTGGGCTCTCCTTTCTTAGGTCTTTACTGGGCTTCTTCTCATCTCAGCTGCACTGGTAAAACTTAGGCACAATTGTGTTAAGAGTCAGGAGAGTCATAGCAGAGTAACCTTCCAGTTGCAAGGAAAAGGAAAATTCATCCATTTGCCTTTTTTTTTTGGTATCTCCTCATATTGCATAAGAGTCACACAGAGCTATTACTGAACATCTGCTGACTTTAGTCCAGTCTTGGAAGATCCACTGCCATAAAACCTAACTTCTGAAACTTGCAGGTACATAAAACAGTAACTGGTAACCAGCAGTGGCATGATCCTCTGGCATGAAGAAAGCTAAGTGAGAGCTGCAGATAATGTACAGAAAAGGATGAAAGATACATGCTGCCATTTTTCTCTTTTATATGGCAATTATAGAGGCTGAAAACTGGGAGTGATGCTCACCAAGTCCCGTGCTTGCTCACAGGATAGACTCAGTCCATCTTAAAGTATGAGAGGTTTAAATTTTTTTTTTTTCATTTATCTCGATAATATGGTATGTCTTAAAATGGGGGCTATTATCTGTGGCATGGAATCCAAATGTGATGACAGCTGAAGAACCTAGACTCTTTTACAAACATCACCTTTTATAAATGTTTGTGATTTTGTTTCATCTTTTTTATGAATTAAAAATAATTGTAAAAACAAAGGGTATGTACATACAGAGAACTATATATGCAAACAGTCTGAGACAGTCTCCACATGCATTATTGTGGGGAGGTGGTACAGCTGTTCACAAATGGCAACACCACTGCTTCCCCTTCCTCCTCCAAGGAGTGCCTACAAAATCTTTCTCCTTGCACTCACCAGGATGAAGGTGACTCATGCCACACTATAGGGAAAACTTATGCTTAAAACACTTTTAAGGCCTGCTTTAAAAAGTCCTTTCTTCCCCACATTCTTCAGCCTACAAAAGCAAATTGCTGCAACCTCCCATCTAGAGGCCTGTAAAAGTATTCCGAATGAACTACGTCTATATTTCAGGGTGTCGTGAATTTAAGGCAAGATATTTTACAATCTCAGCTGTTAAGTATAACAAATTCTGCATATGCATGAGGAATACAGCACAGTTACGTCAAGTGAGAACCTGGACTCTTGGTGGCCTATGAGATCAAGCTTTCTGTCTAGTCCTAGTAGCTTTAAAATTATAACTTGAAGCTTCTTCACTGAAGAAGGAAATTCCATTCTCATAAAGCAGAGGCTGAACGACCCTCTGATGCCAGTTCATGGGAGGGTCGGTTGCACAGCATCAGAGATGCACCAAGTCTCTGCAGAGATCAAAGCATTGGTATTGTTAAACACTGATAGGAGTGGATGATGACCATACAGAGAGGCACTTTTTCTCAAATCCACGGATGGGTGGCATACCTTGCTTAATCCTGATGTCCTCATGGTCTTTGATTTGTTACTCCACAGGCTTTTGCATTGGCAACACACAGCAGCTTTTTAAGACACAAGGCTGGACATTGCTAGCTATCGTGATTTGAAACAGGTTTCCAAATAACTATAGCAAACAAAACTGTGAATGATTTGTTAGTGCAAAGTTAATAATCTCTCTCTCTCTCTTGCATTTATTGTGTGCTCATCCCAGGGTTATCAGAGCTTCCATACCTGCTCTTGGGAATAATAAACCTTTTTATTATTGTCTTTATCTTTTCTTCTTTCTCCTTCTCAAGCAACCTTTCAAAAAAAAAAAAATCTCTTTTCCCTGAAAATGTAGCACTCTTTTACTAAACCAGTTGAAGTCAGTATGGATTTTGCCACCAGCTTTATAAACAGCAGTCTCGTGCTTGCTTATGCAACATTTTGAAGCTCACAAAGGGCGTGATGATTCTGCAAAGAATGGAGGTGCTGAAAGTGAAATAGTAGCATTCAGATATAATATTTCAAACTACCTTCAAACGCTCCTGGACAGCAAATAAAACACAACCCAAACCATCTTACTTTGAGTGGTCGTACTTAAGTATTGAGCAAACTTTATAATAATGGTAATAAATTGGTGCTTGAGGCAGTTTCAGCTACATTACATATTCTCTATATACTATAGATATGGATGTATTCACCCTTTATATTGTATGTGTATGTGTGTGAGTATTTACATGTAGCACACATACATATATGTTTTATGTATGCATAGATACTAACTTTTCTACGTTTTACTTCTTTCCCTCCCATAGCTGAAACTGCTGGTTACTAACATCCACATCATATTCTATGTATGAAGGATATAATTTATTTGTAAACTCAGGATGGTCTTGTTTTATAGAGTTGCTTGTATTTTATAATTTATTTACACATGATGGTTGGAAATGCTTATCTAAGTGCTATGCATTGAAGTGTATGTTTGCTAAATCCATTTCACTCTGTCCGTGGCTATGTTCTTTCTCATTTTAACAGTGATATAAAATAGGGCTAAGGAGGAGAGAAACTGATAGATATAGAACTTATGCTGGTCCCACCAGTGGGCAGTTCCAGAAGAGGATGTATCAGTAGTAGATATATATATTTTATCAACTAAATTTTATGGGGGAAAAAAAAGAACAGCATGAGGATAAGTTCAAAATGTGGAAAGTCACAGCCATTTTCAAGTTGGTCAACAAATGCATTGAGCCTTTTGCCATTAAAATTGTAAAGTTTATTGTTTGCTGGCTAAAAAATATCCTTTTTGTGGTATCTGAGGTGTGAAACATTGTCAAAAATATGATGTCTGGAAAAAAAAAATCAAACTATAGTGGCATTAAATGTTTACTTTTACCTTACCAATATATCTGCTTCCTCCTCCTGACTATTTCACTTTGAATGAGAAAATTTCATGCCATTTCTACCACGAAATGGCAGATAAGAAGGTGCTTTTGACCCAAAAGAAGACATGCAATTATAATAGTGAGAGTAAGCAAGATCAGACCTGAAAATAAAATGACCGAAGGGGTTCTACCAAGCAAGTATTGCTGAGAAGCAAATTCACCAGAAAACACTTGGGAATTGCAGGGTTCAATAGCAATGACAGAAATATTACAAGCAAGCAGAGCACCATTAACTTCTTCCCTGCTGCTGTCCAGAAACAGAAAGAAAGCATAGTCACAAGCCTGAATTAATCAGGCTTTTACAAAAGCTGGTTATGCCTATGCGCCTCCCCATATCAGCAGAGATTGGTCTGTCTGTGTCTGTGAGCAAGGGGAAAATCTGAGACCAAACAAATTATGTGTTCATAGGCATAATTTCTTGTCATCTCTGGAATTGTGTCAGATTTTCCTTGGCCACCATGCAGGTACGTAACACAACAGGGGAGTAATAAAGACTTTGTGTCTTGTGTCAAGACATGCTTCTCTCTCAGCGAGGCAATGGTGGCGGGTCCTGCTGACCCCTGAGCTGCTGCTAAGGTGTATACAATATCTTCTTGCCTTCAGCTCACATTTGTGTCATTCCCTGTCAGTAATTGAGAGTGTGCCTCACTTGCAGGACAAGATGTGAATATGCTCTCTCTCTATGCCCACTAGCACCTGGTTGAGCCCTGATAAGGACACTGGTCTCTTCCTATTGGAAGGAAACAGCAAATCTTGCTTATCACAGGGAAGGGATAAAAAAAAAGGGGAAATAATTTAAAATTTCCTTTAAGACACATCATGTGCTGGCAGATGATTCCCTCATATTCCCTACTTTAGAGGGGGCATGTTAGGGCACTAGGCATCTAAATGTTTGTTTAACAGTTTGGTAAGAATTTAGTGGAGCCCCTGGTGGTCTAGTGGTAAAGGCGCGGCGCTGTCACCACCGAGGCCCGGGTTCGATTCCCGGTCAGGGCCACTCCCGGGCAGGTGGAGCTCGTTAGCCCTTAAAGGCAACCCACCTACGTCCTAAGGACCTCGCTGCCACCGTCCAAGCTCGCTTGGCCCCGGCAGATGAACCTTAGGATTAAAGGGTGGGCTCAGTTCCGCGCACACTGTGTCTCACCTAAAAAATCCAATGTGCAGGCTGGAAGGTGTAAAGACCTTCCCCGGATCTTCGCTCGCGAAGACTGGCCGTTATTTAAGAATTTAGTATAGTCCCTCTATCTTATTCTTCAGCTCAGTGGCAGAGCTAGCAGTCATGGAGATGAGATATGTAGTCATCTGTGGTGACCAGATCTTACAAACAAAAAATATTGAGGTGGCTACAGAGGTAAAGGCTGATGGTGGGGAGGAGAGAGTCTTGTCCTCCCCCCTCCACAGCAAGCTCTGTGCCTGCAGTACTACCTTAGCTGTTGCCCCTGGCCCAGTGAATTTGCATGTTGTGCCACTCCACAGTAGCTGTAAATGAAGATAAACAACCATTTCTTTTGTCTGTGGGCTGTTCAGAATAGCTCTGTTTTGCTCTGAAGAGCTAAAAGGCTTATTGCCTATTTTTGAGGTAATTTATCTTCATTGCTGTTATCATGCAGCCACATCAGTAGTAAGAAACCCAAAGTGCCTTACAGTGACAAAACCAGAAAAATGGGTTAGTGCAAGTCCTAGCCTGTGTCTAAGACAGAACTGATGGTGAGGCACTCTAGATGAGCTGGAAACAAAATCAATTCACTCATGATCTGATCTGGACCCTTGCAGGCCTCACTTCTGATTTGGGGCAAGACAGCAAGGAAAGATTTCGCTCACGGAGGCAGAGAAGGGACTCACACCTATCAAAAGGCTGGTGTCCTTATGAGGCCTGCCTGAAATCGTTGGTGCCTCTTTTAAACCAATGCCCTATACATGACCAAGTCTTGTCTTTAAAACCAAAAGCTTACTGGACTAAAAATCTGAGGAGGGTTTAGCATGAAAACCTGACAGGCCCCACCTCCTTGTGGGGTACTGAATAAGCTCCCCAACTACTGCAGAAGCAGGATAAGGGGAAGCTCTTGATAAAGGACGTTCCTCTCCCACATCCATCCTCAAAACAGGGTCCCAGGACTTCACCCTCACTTTGGCTGGCTGAAGTAGCTACCTGTAAACTGCTGAGGTGGAATGAGGTTAAGAAAATTCAGTTCCAGTCACTGAGATGAACACAAAGTTAATGTTTAGTTCCTCTAGAAAAGGCCATCTGTGGATTTTACATTTTATGGCATGTTAGTAGTCTTGACAGTTGCCAATCTGGCAGTCTTGGAGTCTGGCATCTGCTATTTAACCACTAAGCAATGCTTTACTGGCTGTGACCACATGAATGCTCTACATTGCTCAAAGACCACTTTCATAACCTACAAAAACAAGTAGGTAGCCTGGAGGTCCTGTCTACTCCCAAGAACAATTCTGGCAAGTGCTGACCTGGGAGAAGCTTCAGGACAGCCAAAACTAGTCCCTCCCCAATGGATGTTTCTCTAGGGAGAAAACCTGCATTCATTTCCATATACGTTTGTACGTGTCTCTTCTGTGGACACTTAAGCACAGGTTTGGCTGTCTTGCCATCAGATTGTGGGTTTCATGCCAGCCAACTGGCAGCCAAACCTACTCAGCTGTGTGTGTCTGGCACATATCCATATTTCCATTTCTATTTTCTAGAGACTGAAGTGCTGCCAGACGTGTCGGTACTGTGTGTGGGACTCGGGGCTTGCTGCAGAGACGAAGTCTCACACCTCCAGCGATGGGGGACCTTTGTCACTCACTTTAAAAGGAGCAGGGTCTGTCCTCGTCCCTTTCTCATTCCTGCTCATCTTCATTCTCTGAATGACAGGAAACCAGGGAGATGGGAGAAAACGTTGACATTTTCCTATATTTAGTTTGTCAGTACACAAATTGCTCATTGTAGCTACAATAAGGAAGAAGCGGGGGAGCACAAAAGCCACCCTGCTCACTGGGCTGTGCTCTGCAGACTACTCCATAGTAGTGCTGTCGGATGCTCTGTGCCAGTTCAGCACTACCCCTCATAAACTGCCCCTTGGAGCTTGCTTGAAACAAAAGCTCATGGTGGTGCAAAGGAGTAGCAGTGCTCCTACCCACCTTATCTTTCAGGGCCTGTCCATGCTGAGCAGCCCAGCTCGCTCCCATCTCCGTGCTTTAATCAGATGCCCAGGGACACAACTGTGAAGAAAGTCATGGCAGCTGCCTGATTTTATTTAAGAGCAAGTTGCCTGCTGCTAAAACGTATTTGATGGAAACCTCACTATATCCAACAAGCATCACTGAGGGATTCAAGCAAGACACAGTAACTGTAATGGCAATTTCTCCTAATTTCCAAGGACATTAGAAGGCATGGCAATTACCTAATAATGGGAAAGACAACAGCTGGCTCCTGGCCCTGGGGCAAGTGACTCTTGCAGCCCTGGGGGCTAGTGTAGCTCTGAGTTTCCAGAGGCTCAAAGAATATTTCTGAAGGTTAAATGTAAAGCCATTAAGATGCTGTGAAATGCACAGAAAAGCTTCTGGACAGCCTCTAAGCCTTGGTATTGCAGAGTTTGCATCCATTGGACTCCCTTTTTTCTGCTGTCAAGGCTGAAACAATGGGAGCACCCATTCCAGTCTGCTTCACAATCAGGATTGCAGTGGCATGAAGAGATCTGCAGAGCAGGTCAGTCACAGGAACAAACACTATCTGCATACTAAATAAACCTGTAGCCTAGCAAGAGGTCTTTGCACCTGAAATCTGTCATGGGGATTGCAGTTATTGTGAGGGGGTGTTACTGGTACACAGCCCCCAAGACACATTCAGTACAATTTGGTTACAGACTTCTCCTCCAGTCTGTAACGGAGAACAGTGCTGCTGGAGCATGGACAAGGCAGCACTATGCCACAGAGAGGAGATAAAGGGAATGGCAGAATCCATTCAGGTTCATGGAGACAGGAGGCCATTCACAGATGTGTCAGCAATTTAAGAACAGTGATACCAGGTGAATTGTAGAGAAGATGATCATAATGGTGCATCACTCATCCCTACAAAGGCATAGGACGTAAAATGGCACCCCCTGGCCAGAGGCCCCTGGGGCAGAGACAGAATTTCATTTTGGGATTCATTTCATTGACTCACTGAAAGCAGAAAACTCACTGAGTCCAGGGGATAAAAACAAACAACACAAACACCTATAACCTAATAGTTATGTCAAAGCCAGCTATGAAGATTTAGGATGTTACTTCCCCTCCTTAAACAGGAACTCTAAGTAAAACTGACCCTTATGCTAAGCCATTTTGACCTTTTCATAAGCTCTCCTCATAAAGTGTGGAGGCTATTATACTACCTTATCTTGCTAGGATTGTAAACCTTTGAGCTCTAAATTCTATAATTCTATGACCCTAGAAATTCTTCCCAAGGAAATACAGAGTAGAACTTTTTTTTTTTTTTTTTTTTTAACAGAAAGGTAACTTCTCATTAAACCCAAAATAATCAATGTGTTTCAGATAATAAAGACGTAAACCCATCTCAGTAAGGAATCCTACACCTGACCACACCCTGGAAGCTTTGGTTGGCTGCAGAACCATGCTGGCTGGTCAGGAGCTGGCCCACTGGCTGTGAGAAAGTTCATGTTGTGCCTGAGGTATACAGCAGGGCTGGATGAAGGCTGGCACAGGGACACTGGTGCAAAACTTGGCTTTCTCTGCCTGGGACAGTCTACTGGCCTGAGGCAATGCAGGATTTCCATCATTTTCATCTGGCAGGCTGTGTAAGCTTTTTCATGGGAGTTGCAGATGGTAGAGGGCATTCCAGCGCAATGATAACAAGATTCTCTTTCCTTGGCTGCCTTTTGCAGACCTCCTTCACAGGTGTGCTCAGGTGGCAAAGCCCTCCTCCACATACTGGTGGTGGCAGCTGAGCCTGAACCTCT